ACTGACACACAGTCTAGCGAAATACTTAGCTAGGATACTTAAAACCTATGACACATTAATTAATCATAAAATTAAAAAAGTGTGGAATTCGTGAATAATGTTGATACCATCAATGTAGGAGAGGATGGAATGATAGCAAGTTTTGATGTATCATCCATTTTTACTAATGTACCTACTAGTAGATCAGTGGATTTTATTTATGACTCTTTAGAATCTGACTCAGGTTTCGATTTACGAAGTTCTTTTGATCCATCTGAATTTATTAAGTGATTGGAATTGTAAATCCAAATTAATAATCCATAAAAAATTGACCAAGTTTAAGGCAGAGTGCATCATTTAAGAAACTGTAACATGTGAATCAAGGAGTGTTTGTGGTATAAAATAAAATCCAATCGTTAATGTTGAAAAGACTAATGTGTAGTGGTAACTTGAATCAGTTTATAAATGAAATAAAATCGTAAGATCAATGATCGGAATATATATTGTTGACACGAGGGTGAAAGATAATAATGGGATTACAAATCAGAAATTACGTGATATGTAGAATGATATGAATTAGGTCAGACATAGTAGATAGGGGTGGATGCTGAATAAACTTCTTTAAAAGGTTAGCAGGTGTGATAATAATAATGACTGGTAAGATGTGCAGATAAAATGAGTTTAGGATATAAAAATGAACATTAATCAAATTAACGTCACCATATTATAAAATTGGTTATAAACAAGTTGACTCTGAAGTTGGCCAGGATAAAAGGAGCGGCTGCACATATTTCTTTTGGGTGCAAAGCTCTGTTTTTTATCCGAACAGCAATTGCCTCAGCCGTCTGCAGGATTTTCAGTCTGACGGAATAAGGTAGATTGCTATTAACACGATATACTATTGTGAAAGATTGCTCCATGCTAGCTCTATATCCCGTCTTAACTAAGTGGGCTAAAATAGAGCTGTTAACCGTTTTGACTACACCTTTGCTTAACCACACTGGTAGGTGATCACGAGCCCGAATATACAAATTCCTAGAACATTTGCCTATACAACTTGCCCGATAGGAGCAGATGAATTGATAGATACAGAAAGAAGTGGCTAGTCTAGGCAATTTAACTTTCAACATCGGCGTGATCTTTGGACGTGTGGGAGAAACTTCAAGACAATTGGATGTGAAGTTGGAGGAACACGAACGCTGTTTGAAAAATGTTCCCAAATCCTCAGTTGATTTTAAGAAATTTGAGACATGGTTGGTGATGGTGTTACATGCGTTGGAAATAGGATACAAGATCAATTTTGGAGGGACCAAAATATTTTAGAAATATTTTAGCACACATATAGTTTGACAGCAAAAACGCTGTATATATAAGCGAACAAGAGCAGCATGAACAGTAAGGATGATAGTTAACTAGCAACTGCTTGGCAAATATTCATTAACAAGAAATTGTGGCCATTCTCTATCACACCTGTTTATTCTACATTTATCGTTATTCTGACTGAAATTAATGTGGGTCATTTGAGCTATACAGTTAGGCATTTGATGATTCACACTGATGATCCAGAAACAATTTTTCAACCATGAAGTTGCATTTTTATTTTTCCTTCATATGAAAACAAATTTAACATCTAATGTCAACTATGAACAACTCAATCTTACACAGTAAAGTTTTGATTTGACTGTTAAATGCCATATACTTCATTGATATTCTTCATTATTAACCCGAAGAAGTCAACAATAGTTCGCTGTACAGACCGTTCGAATTACTTAAATTTCAATAGCTGGGATTATTCCAAATATAACCTCCCCAAATTATAACTTGATTTACCCAAAAACTACTGTACCCCCTGATATTATCTTAGATAGCAGCCCCTTGTTATGTATTTAGCCAAAGGCTTCGCCGAAGTCAATGAAAGCTACATTTATAGGACGGTTCTAACCCACAAGAACAATATTCTCGTCCTACAATTAAGTTCACCAATTATGATTAAAATGTTCACAGACTATACGTTTCGTCCGAAAGAAGATTGATGCCATCTGGATATTTAAATGACTTATGGTGCTTAATACGGAAATGGTAAAACTATATATTTGTATGCTCATCTTGGAGCACAGGACCTGACATATAGCACGTGAATGTCAAGTGCGTTAATTTACACACACTTCTTAACATGTGGTCAGTTGTGTGATTAGCTTGAAATCTCCAAATGAGTATCCTTGTAATTTATCTTTGTTCGTTTGGCTGTCTATTTATCCATCTGTTGACCATATTCCGATGTTAGATTAATCATTAATACTTGTAAAACGTTGACTCAATGACGGCGAAGAGATCTTAAACTCATTTTCAAACGATGTCGACTAGACATTTCTAACATAAAGAGGATTCGTTTCACTCTAATACGATTGCTGGACATTTTTTTATAGGGCGATTCCTATCCTAATACGATTGCTGATGATTCTACCGCTGATGTCAATATAAATTCATGTCAGTTACAAAGAGGTATAGTTGTGGCATCATTTCAATGATGTCATGATTCCATTTTATATGTGACCATTAAATTCCACTATGCTTTGATTACTAACTATTAGGGTGATTTTATTGCTCACACCTGTTACTCTCATGGGGCTTTCGGCGCCGACTCGGATCCTTCAAAATACTCTGTCCTTCACACTATATTCCAATTATTGCGAAGTGTTATTCATTCTTTCGTCGTCTCTCCACAGTTGTATGTTCGGCTTCAAGAATCGTGTGGTTGAAACCCAGTGTCACTGCATGTTCGTCAATCGGCCTCTAATTTCTACCCCGACGACTTCATTTTAAGGCTTGCCTGTGCAATCCTGTGACTTCTTCAATATGTATTCTGTTCACTCCCAGTATATTTTTCTAATTTCCTCTTCAGTCTGTGGCTATCCTAGTTTCCGCCACAGCATGTTGCTCCTGAGGGTGTCTAGCCAACTGATATAGAATATCTTGCGGAAACAGCCACGAAATTGTGGAAAAGATTTGTAGCTCAAGTTGCTGATTTGGGTGGAGTTTTGTTCTTTGAGCTGGATGGTTTAGTTGTGGGGCTTTCATCTTTTTTCTGAACGATAACATCAGCGTGAACTTCAAGTAGAACGAAATAGCTGTATATAGATACGTGTATCTTTATGTTGATGATTACAGTTCTGCAAGCTTCAGCTTCGTGCAATAGAACTGCTTAACGTTTTAATTGAAATTTCTGACTATGGTGTCGGCTGATAGATCTTTTCAGTTCCAAATGTAATTCAATTATGAGAATTCTGACTTTGCTTTCCCCATCTGGGGTTCCACATCGGGTCCTCCTCGTTTAATACTGACGCTGCCTAGGGAGGTAAAAGTTCCACCTTTTGCACACACAAGATTTGAACCTATTAAATTTGGCCTCGTCTTCGATTGCTTGACCTTCAGAACATTGAGCGTCATGTGGTGGAGTGATTGGAGTTGGATATAAACATCATTGGATCCAGTGATCTAGCGGTCTGGAGTTCAGGGATTGATGAACATGACCGAAAGTTCTGTGTTTGACACATATGTGCAAAATTGCGGATGTTCACTGTTGAAGAGTTCCATACTAAGATGAATCGGCCGTCCGATTTCCACTGATTTTCAAAAATGATCTAACTCAGATCGATCCAGGATTCCGATGATGCAATACAACCTTTTGGGAATAATCTTTCCTAGAACTTCCTCAACCACTCTGGAAAAGCTCACAGAACGATAGTTTTCGGATCTATACCTTGTATCTGTCTTAAGAACAAGACTTACAGTGACCTGCCATGGACTAGAAATAAATTAGAGCGCTTAAATAACGTGCGTTTATGGTTGAAAATTGCCTCAATATCCTAGAATGCATGTCCTTGGGCTCATGAAGTTTCCTAAACACGGTTTATTCGGTAGATCACAGATATTAGACTTTGTAATGAACACAATATCCGGGATATCAGTGACAAGATTCATCTAGAAATGTGCCTCCAGCCCATACATATTTCGAAAAGTAGCCCACGCGTACCTGGGTCAAACGATAGTCATCTTCCCTTAACGGTTTCACAGTCTTTTCTTTGTAGAATGTTGTTATGCTACTCCATGTTTATCCCGATAATAATAATTGTTAATAAAATGATCGTTTTAGATAATTTATAAAATACTCGACAACCTCTCTGACACACTCATTCCAGACATGTGTAGAGCTAAGTTGTAAATATTTCTATTTTTCTGTTTCTTAGGAACGTCTTCTGATATTATTTCATTCTCGAAATTTTTGAGTGATTTTTATTTTAAAGTTTCGGCCGCTCACTTTTTAAATAAATCCATTTGGTCTACTTAATAAGGATAGAACCGTTTCCTAACTTGATAGAAACATTTGCTCATAGATGCCAAATAACTTATTTATTTTTCTCACCGATTTGATCACTTGACTTCTTCCAGCGTGATTGCAAAATCTGCTTGTTAGAAAAAAGTGGCAATTTCCAGGCATTTTTTGCTTTGTAATTGTCTGCATCAATAGTACATCGTTTATCGACAGACTACAATAAAATAATTGATAATACTGATCAAAAACGGAAATAGCGTGTCCTTTTCGGCATATTACCTCAAAGGTATATTTAAAATCCAGTTTTAAAGGGGCCAGATGTTTTTAGCACCTCACCTCATCAAACCGCCACTACCATCAGCAAAGTGATATGGTGGTTTCAGCTTTGAAATAATATTGAACGGTTTCCAAATGCATGCACCTGTGATTCGGTTAGTTCAGGCTTGTATTAGTACCGAAAACAGTCATTGGAAGCTCATTTGAAAAGTGAATAAATAGATTCATATCATTTATTACTAATCTATGCGAAGACAAAAGAAACGAAAAACCGTCGAACATTACACTAATTTTAAGATTCGATGTGATAATTAAACGTGGGATAAAGGGATAACTTTACAAAAACATGATAATTTCGTTTCCTTTGCTTTTATGTTTCCAACTGCCTATACTTGTCAAGGCGATCTTCCGCGCGACTTCTAATTAGGGAGTCTATTTGAAATATGGGGAGTTAAGTTTCGGTACGTTGCAATGCATTAGTTTAATAAGCAAAACCTTTGTTGTTACAAGTTCAAGACCCCAAATTTTCTACTTGTCTTTAAAACGTGTCAATCTTGCTCAACCTTGTCATTGTGGATTATGTGTTAAGTCATTAGTTAGACAAAATGTCCCGAAGTAAATCTGTGGTTCAATAAAAATTGACCGAATGGTCGTTCATTTAAGATTTGGGACCGCACAGTAATATTCCTCATCTTTATGTATCCTTAACGATATTAAGTTTTCGTGCGTATGATAAGCTGAATCGCGTGTCCTGAATCACGCAACTAGCTGTATCAATTATCTGTATTACAATTTGCGTCATTCGCTTATTTGTTCTAACGATAACAACTTTTTCTTCTAGTTCTGAAATAAGTTTTGGCATAAAGCAATCTTATAAGTCGATGAGTACTTCTTAACTTTAATTTGCGTATGAAAAATTGTAATGTAGATTCACGCCGATATTTCTATCCGTACCAAGTCTGCTGCATTTCTGATTATCCTGAGCATTAATGCTTTCGTTTTTAGTTCCTTGTATCAATGTTTCAGTGATACATATTCCAGTCTTCAGTTTCGAAGCTTCAGTAACTATCGACGATCCCTTATGCCTCAGTTCAGAATACCACAGGTTTGTCGTTATTTAAATTAAACGAACTCTCAAATGAAAAGCCAGCTCATTCTCACGAAATATGCACGGTTTCCTCAAAGTTATAAAGTTTTACGGGCATTAAGAAAACAGGGTTTTGCTACTTAAAAATTTGGTTGGGCTGCGTTTCACAAATTCATGTCCTCTATAGCTTTTATACTACTTCTTAGACAGAAATGAAACCATACAGCTTCCCCCGAGTAATCAAGCCTTCTCAGCACTGCCACTTTGTTGTTTAAACATGTGTAAATAACGATTTCGTACTTCCTCCATCTAAAACGTTATTATACTACGTAATTATATTTCCTGATTTCATGTTCTATCAAATTCTCTGTCAGCATATTCCATAGATCTTTCAATGATTAATAATTTGTGATGTTGTTACTCAGGTAGTCTTAGCTTGTTCGTAAACTATGGAATAACATACGTGGAACGATTTAAGACGTTATAGTAACTCCAAATAGAAGAAAAATGTCATTTTGGACACCTACATCTTTAATCGTTAGTTGTGTAAGGTATTTTGATTGAGCAACACGATAATTCCTTATCAAATATGTAGGTCAAGTAAGCTATTTCTAAACATCCTAGTTAAAAAATTATGTGACGAAATACTATTTGTAACTATGGGAAAGTTGTCATCTGACCTTCTTATTAGTGTATAAATGCATTTATCTCAGGTCCTAAATAATTTATTCTTATCAGTCTACCATAAGTACTTTGTTCGTAAGTGGGTTGTAAGTCAGTTTTTTGCTGAATAAATCCGTAGTGTATAAGATTGTTGTATAAATTGCAGCCCCACATACTCGGACTTGTTCTCGACAGAAATTTCAATTTTGGTTATCAATAAAGTGCACAGAATATGATTGTATCAATAACCTACTCTAATAGAATTAAATAATCAACTATCTTTCAGTTCATCTCTCAATGACGTTACTCATCAAACTTCATCCAAAGTCGCTTATTTTGGATTGAATAAATAGACTAATAACATTACTTGGTTCTATATATAAAGGCCGTTTTGGTAAGGTGTATATTTCTAAGCTTGTATTTTCAGTAATACCTTAATAATGTAGTCAACTTGAAATAGTCATTGTTTTCAGTTCATGATACTTTACCTCATAGGTTACTAGGTCTGACGTCTCATTCACTGGTTGAATGGTGTTACTCCAAGAGCTTTAAACACAACCGTTGGTAATGTAGTTTAACAGAGTCTGTCTGGCCCAATTTAGTGTTATCATAAACGTCTTTTGTTTCCAATGGAATACAAATAAATGGTCTATTTTAAATTATGCTCCTATCCTCAAGTACATGTTTTCGTGTTTTTAGGGATATACTGCGTCATCTAATGCTACAGGAACCCATTCTCCATCTTAATTCGGAAAAAGAAAACCTTAATTCAGCGTTCCTCCCCAATATATCTCACTCCAGAAGAAGAATCGACAAGTCTAACACCGAAGATATCAAGGGTCTTTGTAGAGTTTCACAGGAAAAAAAAATGCCGGCTCTTTCTACTACTCGCACTCAGGGTCATTGCAGGTCTGGATCAACTAACACTGATTCTCTGTTTGTCCGTCCGAATTCCCAAGTATCATCTAAACTGCGAGCAGCTGGTGAGCCTACATTGAAAAAGTCGTCTAGCTACCAAAATATTAAAATTGCCAATAATGGAAAAGGGCAGGCAATGCATTCGTCAAATCTTCAGGTTACTCAGTCAAGTAAACGAAAGAATCTCAATAGTAAACAAAAGCACCATAGTAGTGCCGCTAACATTCCCACAGTTTGTTCTAAAAACCCTGAGCTAACTTCGTCGGAACCTCATTTTCAAACTCACCTTAACACTCATTCTAATGCTCACCGCATATCTGTAAACAGTGACCTACTTTCACGTGTGGAAAGGGAGAAAAAGCAATATGAAGCTCGGATATCAGAATTAACACAAGTCACAGAAACACGCAAGATGGAAATAGAAAAGTTAACATTCGAAGTTCGCCGTGCTAAAGAAGAGGCATCAAAAGCTATTTTATTGACCGAGGAAACTAAACTTGAAAACATCCAGCTGCGAAACCAGTTGCTAGCTCTCGGAAGTCCATGCAAAAAAGATGGAGATCAAGGTTCCTGCGTAGAATTCCATCAAAACACAAAATTGAATTCCACAACTCCTAGTTCACGTAAGTTATTTGCCTTCACCTCATCTCCTCCTGAATCACTTGGCACAACAACACGTCTTACTCCGGGTGGAGCCACCACTGCATTTACTGGAGGTGTTACAGCTAGTTCATTATCAAGTGAATGGAATGAAATGGCACCAGGGTATGATTTATGTCCTACTGAAGAGCCTACTGTGTATGATACTAACTATTCAAGTGATTTGGAAAATATGAGTAGTAGAAAGCAAAAAGAAAACCCAGTCGTTAGTATCGCTACTCTCCAAGGACGTTTACTACAAATGGAAGAGGCCAACTATACTACCAACGAAGAACTCCAAGCCACATTGCAAGAACTATGGGATCTACAGCGCAGTGTTGATGAGGCTCATGAAGAGGCTCACAGTCTTGCCTTTGAGCGCGCGATTTTATTGGAAGCTCTCTCAACTCAGACTTCAAAACTTGAACACTGTCGATTTCAAATTGAACAGTTAAAACACTTATTGCTCACTGATCGTAGTGCGCAAACTCCTGGTTCACGAGAGAATCACTTTTGTGAGTTGTATGCTTCCATTGAGCAAGAGAAACAAGTTCTACTAGGTCAAAATAATGACTTGGCCCAAAGTTCAGAAAGTCTTGCTCGTGAATGCCGTATCTTGACAGAAAAAGCGTCAGCCTTGCAAGACAGTTATGATGCTTTAGAAACGAAGCATTCTTCTTTGGAAAAAGCATACCAATCTGTTTCTTCAGAATTAACTTTGCTTAAAGGTCAAATTCCTCTCGATTGTTGTAAAGGTTCACTAAATAAACAGGATGATATATCAGATCACTTGAAAAGAGTTAGCATTGCTGTTCAAACTGATTGCGTTTTTCTCATTGATTCACTTGAAAACCCACTCTCTGTATCCATTAATGAAGATAGAAAGAAATTGAATGAGATCACTGTTGAATTGCATAAAATCAAAGAGAATTATGAGATTCTACTTTGTGAACGTGAGCGTGAACAAACTGAATGGCGGCTATATGAAAGAGATTTGTTAAAAGCTGTTCAAGTCGCTGATGAAATTAAAACTGAATCCGAACAGGAATCTCACCGCCTAAACTCAGAGAATGCATCTCTCAAAGAACAAGTAAGTTCTGTCAAAGAATAAAAGAAGTAAAATTATTTCGGTTAATTTCAGTAATTGTATTCATATTTGTGTATTAAGCTTACAGGCTTACGAAACAAATCTGACTGTTGAAACCATAGCGTATTAGTTGGAATTGAGGACTATAATTCTAAGATTAGTGTAATTATCTTATCCTTCTAAACAAGATCATTTTATTAAATTATCAACCATTTAGTGAAAAAAATAATGTCTTTTTTATTATGATTAAATAAAATAGACAAACGATCTAGAACATATGTATCATTCTTACTATCGCGTATACACACACGCACGCATTAATAAGACACTCCTAAAACCTCAAGAAAATTCTCAGTTATTCTAAAGAACCCTAAAAAATTCATCTTGCTGCGCCAATAGGGTATGGCAAATTTAATCGTTGCGTTTAACCGACTGGCACAATATGAATTAATTCATTCTCGGTTATATGAACCTAATGGTGAAATAAGACTAGGAAAAAACAACTGAATGGATGTTTATGGAGTTCTCCGAAGATCCCCATCATACTAAAAAAATTGACATATGGACGAGGAATATTCTTTCTAATAAATTCTCTTCAGGTTCTACAGTTATATGTCCAAATTAACAGTTTAAAAAGTGGCCAGTTTTAGGGCAAAATACATCGTTTACAGCCATAGCATGTGGATTTACGGCTGTTCGTAAATTAAAATACGATTGTTAATGTTGAGATAACCAACATACAATGTTAACTTGAATAAGTCTATACGTTGAGTGGAATTTTGAGATCAATAATCGGAATATAACCATGGCCAATAGAGGGTTAGAGAGAAACAAATCAAATCTTTGATGTATTGTATAGGGTATAAAGTGTTGTGCATTCAGTAGAAGCTAATGAGGTGGGGTAAGTGCTTGCTCATGTTTTCAGAAGATTAGTATTGATGTCGAAACAATAATAATAAAAAACGTTAGACATGTAAATGACAATAGCAATTAGATAAGATTAATTACAGGTTGTGAAAATGCAAAGTGGGAAAGGTTACATGTGAATTAGTCAAATTGGGTCATTCTGTTACTAAGATTAATATAGATCTGTTAATCCTAATGTTGGACAAGGTAAGAAAATACGTGGTCATGTTTCTTTGGCACATAAATCTTTGTCTTTTTTTAATCCAAATGGGTATTGTTTCTGCCGTTTGTTGAACTTTAAGTCTGATCAACTTTAGTGAAAACTAACCTGATAAATCATTGGGAATGGTTGATTTGTGTTATTACTATGACCACTTTGCACTAAGTAGGTTGATATTAAACTTGAGGAGGATTTATTGAAAAGCATATTTTTTGTTCATGCATCACTATTTATGGCATTATTAACTCTGTAATTTGAATAATTTCAGTATCATAATATGATTTGTATTGGGTGTATTTCTATTTAATTGGTAAAACTATTTTCATAAATTAGAATCGAATACAAAAGTGTACCGTAGATTATGAGATGTTCAAGAATAGTAGTGATAATCATTTTCTTTTAGTTGTTTTTTTATGTATACCGTTAATTATTCATGAATTGATAAGTAATTACTTGTGAGAATATTTTGTCTTTTCTATATTACAAATATTCTCCTTTATACTATCATGTATATATGTGTGTATTTCAAGGAGGGGGGCTGTATCCATGACCCAGTATTAAGAAGTGTCAATTAATGACACTTGATAATATTCATGTTAATAAATAAATAAGCAAATATAATGGAGGTTGTACTCTTAAAATTCTCCTTTTTTTCTCTTTTCTGTCTTAAAAATAAAGGTAAATTTTCGTTAAAAATGTAATAGAAATACTTATATGTATGTGTGGATATATGCTGTATGTATCAAATAATTTGTTAGTCTTTATTGTTCACTACATTGATCGATTTCTGTAATGCGAGTGCCTGAGCCTTTTTTTAACGTAATAGATAAAATTATTATTTTATATGCTTGAATAACAATGAAATAATAATAGATAGGAAAAACAGCCTTTTATTATGTAAGTTCAGCACGGTTTCACTTCAAAAAGTACGCATCATAAAAGTATTATGAGTATAAGAACGATTGTTAAAGTCTCTGTTACCCTCCGGTGGACAATAACGACTTTCCCCTAAATATCCTGGTATGACCGAAGTTGGAGAGAGGCCGCTCTCCTGAAATTCATTTATACGACCAAGCGTTTACAGCCTCTGCCGAGGAGGTTAATCTCGTTTCCCTCCCTTTGCGATTACGTTTCTTACAAAAGTAGGAGAATGAAAAGCCAAACCATGTTATGAATATGGATGATCCATGCAATGAAATAAAAAAACTCGATTCTAAGCAATTAGTGTACATAAGCTTTAGGGTCATAAAGAATTGATTGGCGTGTTAACCGATTTTTGGTTACTGATTACTTTGGGATGGCAGATCCTTACATTTCTCCACTTTTTGTTGATTAGATGTTTGGAGTAATGATTCTAGAGGTGGGCTCCTATTAAAACCACATTCATCTTGGGCACCTAAACAGTATTTCAGTCCACAAAAATTTGATTTTGTCCCACAGCTGTACCGGGTTTTATGTGAACTGAATAAATAGTTAAAGCTTCAAGGAAATGTAACCGTTTGCTCATTGGTCTAGCGCACTACTGACATACTTATTGAGTTGCATCATTGAGCTGCTAATTAGATTTACATTCAATCACAACACGTGTTTGATCAAACGATATTCAAGTAGGTTTCTTAACTCTGTTGATACTGTACTGGGCTATTAAGGCGGAGGTCAGACATTCAAATCCCACTACGACCAATGTATCTTGGCATTGAAGCGTAATTACGAGTTATTTCTGTGATATCAAGACACTTCACATTTAAAGACCTCGAAGTATTTGTCACTTGAACATAATCGGTCAACTACTATCCTCACCCTGTAAGAATAAGATGGCAATTAGTTGTCCTTGACCTTAAGTGTTTTTTATAAACCTTTAAAATGGTTGATAATCCTCAAATAACTTCTTTTCTGAAATTACTAGCTGATAATCAGTTGCTATCTCATCAACTAGAAGTATACAGCGTCACTATACATTAGCTACTTCTAATAATTTCCTCTCGCTCTATCTTCTACATCTATTCTGTTTTCTTGGTAAAAATTACAGAAATCGCTAACCTTTTTCACAACTATTATATTGATTTTATGCTAATTTTTTTCAGACTAACCACATGGTGATTCACATAATCCTGTTTACATGGATTATTTTAGTTAGGATAAATCGTTTATGTGTGTGTTTTTAATTCAGAGTGCATGTATTTAAATAACTATGCCGCACAAAAAGTCTTATTAAGAAAAAAAGGTGAATTTTGTACAGTATTTTACGAATTTCCCCTATGGTAGATGATTCGGAATATTTAAACTAATTAAATGAAACAGTTGTATAATGTTTTCAATAATTGACTACATCTGGGTCTTAGGTTTTAACTCCCAGTCAATTTACTTGGATTTGGTCAGTCAGTTGGTAGCATTATTCTTCATATAAAAGATATAGTTGGAAGCAGAATACCTTAATGCATACTTGGTTAGTCGTTTAAATGAACTAAACTAATCCACCAAACACCTAACTGTTATCGAAGCTTAGCTAAATTGGATACTTTTGAGTTATGTATTTCTTAAAATGATTGTTAACACATTAATATAATCCGTAGTGCTATGATACTTGATTACTTCGTTAAATAAAAACCATAATTAGTTAGGAAGAGTAAACTGGTACATTTATTACCGCATAACTAAATAATTATTTAAAAGCATGAATATTGGTACAAATGGGCCACATAATAAGAAAAACAATTCACCTGAAAGTATGGGAGGGATTTAAAAAGTTCCTCTCACTTCTATGAAGAATATAAAACAAGACTACAACAGAAGCACTATTGTCTATTTTGGCCATGTTTGATAACGTCGAATTCCACTCAGTTCCACTATCTGTAGGACCTCACCCAGGGAGTTGTTATAGATCGCAAGATGTCACTCAGAAAGCTTTCCATTATACCTCACCACCATGACACAAACTGACTACCTCTCCACTTTATCCAACCTCAGTTTCAGCGAATAATGCACGATGTGAAAATCGCTGGGACGACATTCACAACACATGACAAAGCCACTAGAGCCTGTGGTTCAAGCTGGTGGCACTGATTAAGTTTTCGTCAGTAGATGCAAACATTCATTGATAATATAGTCTTGCCACTGAATCTCAATAACTCTTTGTCGACGACGATGATCGAACAAGAAGAGTTGCCGAACATCCTCAACTCGGAAAGACCAGCTTTCACAAGTATAGAGCAAACTGCTCTCACTGATGCGCTGTAAATCCTACCTTTCCCAACCAGATTGACATTATAACAGCTCTGAAGATAGTCCGAATTGTCATAGACCACTGTGGCTTTCATCATACATGGATTGATCTCATCTGTTACGCTACCACGAACACTCAAGCTAATACCTAGAAACACGAACCTTTCGATTAATAACGGCTTATCACAAAAAGTGGGCGCCCTCACAGTCTCCTGTTAGTCTTTCCACTCAGTTTCTGGTTCATCCAGTAGACATATATCCTCTGCTTGTGTACATTTCTTCCTCTGGTTTGTTTTTTAAATAAAATTGTAGTCTAAAAAGTATGCTATCGTTTACTCTCAATTTAAAAAATAAATCATTTACAAATTGACATTTTCCAATAGTTAAACGAATATTTAATGACATAACTATTCCATTCGCAAAATATTTGTTCTAAATAACAACACTAAGGTAATAATTCGTCACATATTTTACATCTTATAAACAAATGAACTTTAATACTAAACGCCAAGCAATAAGTTTCGCTCGTTTCACACGTGAGTCATCCGCAGTTCAACTGAACACAACTGAAATTCTACTAGTTGGATTAAATGTATATTTAAGAATCATCGAACGTTTGAAGATGTATCTGTTATCGATAGTCCCATGTGTTATTCCATCGAAGCTAGTTAGCATATAATCAATGACTTAGTTCTTTTCAATAAGATCTTAATGCCGTATTTTTTTTGAAATTTATTTTCAGGTTGAAAAATTAACTAAAGATTCTACTCGTTTGAATTCTGAAATTACAATATTAAAAGATAAAATTAACTCATTATCATCGAGAAACAATGGAAATGAACATCTCAACTTTACTTCTGGTTTTCATCTATCATCAGATGGAACGAATAAACCAAATCCCAACCCTACCTCAGTCTCATCTACTTCATCAAACCAACCAATTCTATCAAATATCATTCAGAATATTTGTCCAAGTAGTTCCGCTTATCTTACTACAAATACAACAACTAACTCATGTCGTTTAGCACCTGGTACACTAACAGACAATAGCTACTCTGGACGTAATAGTATAATGCATCCTTTTACTGCACATCGTTCCACTGGATTTAATCATACAAACCATTTACATTCTACGTATCCAGGTTCACCTGGAGCACCAGGTCGACCTAGTGCTCTATCAACCGGGCCAACTGTGCGCAGTTTAATTCAAAGTATTGAAAATCAGGTATTTTTTTGTTTCTGTTTACGCTTATTTGTCTATTTACCCACGAATATGTATGCATAGGGGATGTTCACTTACAAATTGTGTTCTTATTACTATGTATCAACAAAGAACAATTACTTTTTACTTGTTTAACTTATCAGTTTATTTGATATAAATAATAATATGATTAGTACTCACGTTGATTTTTACAATCTATGAAATGTACTTCATTGTGCCATATGTGCATACATAATATTATTAGTTCATGACCTTTTTTCGTATTTAATTTCATATTTTAAAGTAGTGATAAGTTTGAATTACTTTAATTAAGTGTCACTTTCTAATGAAACCTCTACGTATATACTAGAGATTTACTTGACTTTTATCAACTTACATCTCCCATGTTACAGGAGTAATATGAAAACTCTAGTAAACTAAAAAATACTCCATTTTATCATTACTTTACTAGTGTGAAGCATTACGTCTAAAGGCAAGAGGAATGTGTAGGTCGCTAGTACGGGTTTAAATAAATTGCACTGGTCTTAAAACTGTTACATTCGTACTATTGAATCATATAATAAATAGTACTGTTGTCAAAGATAGGCTACTAGATATATTTTCATAGTTGAAATCATGGGTCAATTGAAGCTAGACCACCATTGAAAACCTGGAAGCACTGAACGGCCGTTTCATCCTATCACGGGACTCCTCAGCAGTGCGCATCCACCGTTGGATGCCGGCTGGTAGGTCCTGGGTTCGAATCTCGCGAGTGCGGGATCGTGGATGCGCACTGCTAAGGAGTCCCATAATAGGACGAAACGGCCGTTCAGTGCTTCCAGGTTTTTGATGGTGGTCTAACTTCAATTGACCCATGATTTCAACTTTGAAAATAATAAATTCTCTACAAACCTCCCTCTGATCTATTAGATATATATTGTAAATTATCTAACATTTTGCTCATTATTCTACTGTGATAGTTTCGACATCCGGTATACATCGCCAACCGCTGTCTATGTGTATATGCCATATTAACTAACATAAAGTTGATCCGGTTGTTAAAAGGTTACTATAAGCCATACTAATATAAGAAATCAGTCCTTGGAGGATGACAGCCTTAAAGAGATGCATGATTACTGATTAATTTCTCTAAGTTAGTCATAATCATTTGATTTTTATGGATCATTCTGTTACATACTTGCAAGAATTCCATTCTTTTGGACTGGCTACTTACAAAAGTGTAGATAGTATGTATTGGCGTTCTTTGCTTAATATAAAAACATTTATTTTTACTTCTCCTTTTAATTTAGGTCAAAGCGGTCCAACATCAGAAACGCAGTACAACATCTGCATCAGTCGGTAATTCACGTCCAGTTCGTTTATACACTAATACCAATAACAATGACAATAGTAATAATCGACAAAATATTTCATCATGTCTTAGTTTAATGTCACCAACTGGGTATCCTGGAAAGTCGACTGCACCTATTAGTAATAATAATGGTAATGGGAACAATGATACTGGTAATTCCACTTCAAATCATCAACTGAATTCAAGGACAACTACCACTAATCCTGTCATTTCATCAGAACTTAATTACAAAGTGAAGAATCAGGAGAATACAGATATGAACAGCTTGATTCATACATCAGCGCCTGGTGGACCGAGTTCCGCTATATTAGGTAATCAAAATGTAGCGAAGAAGTTTCCTTCAGATAACATTACTACTGGTGGTAGTAATAATAATCAACGTAATGTTAAAACACCACTTGGTACATCAACTATCATGAATTCAACTGGAACAACGGTGTTTAGTAATTTCAATCAATTTACTAAAATGGATTCAAAAGATGTTTTACTCAGGTTAGTTTGTACCCTGTACTTATCAGTTCTCATGTTTCTCACTTGCGGAAATTTATCTGTCTGTCTGATTAGTACTAGTAGCCTTTAAAGTAAACCTCAAATAATTATAATCTGAATTTTGCACGTCTTTACATCAAGAAGTTTGTTTCATAGATTTCAATCAACATTTAAACATAAAGTCTAAAAATCCTTTTAAGCCTGTGAACAATAAAGTTTACCACTTATTATTGATATTTTTATTAGTATTATTATTGTTTAGAGTGACTCAACAGTAACGATTGGACAGTGTAGATGCGCATCGCAGTGAATATAACACTATTCATGAGTTCTTATCATCTCACAGCTGATTCTGACTGGATGTCTTATTTATTGATGAAGCTAATTAATGATCCATATAAGACCTACATATAAGTAAAATTTAACAAATATGTTATTTTCAAACGTTTTTTTTACATAACTCATGTAATAATGTATCAAAGATAATAATTCTGCATTAGACATTTAAATGAGTTTTGCGTACCAGCGAATTGTTGGATCCATTTTCAATGAAAAGAACAGAACAAACACTATCCACGTATCACATTCTGTAAGGTAGTGGTTGGAAGTAGTCGACAGGTAAGCCTGCAGCAAAGTGTATCTGTAATCTTGAGGGAACTGACACTCTCTGTATGAAGTTTCCAACTATGGAATAGCATTGGTTGTTTCATGATTTCGGTGATACTTAACGATCTCCGCACTCCCGTATGTCTGTGACTCCTCATCTATCCTATATGCGTGTATTTTGTCTAAAAAGATCTTTATGATTGTACTTGTCAAAGATTATGAAACTGATCACAGAGTTTAGATTAAAATCGAATCTTGAAATAAAAATCTCTGCCATGAGCAACCAGACCAGATTTGACCTGAATAATTAAAGTTATTGGCTTGAACTGATCTATACAGAATTCCTGTCTGGTATCCACAAGATTACTTTCGGAGGCTCTAGGTGACAGCTTAAACTTAGTCATAGTAAAAGTGTACGTGTTTACTGTAAACATTATTTTTTTACATTTTAGTCGTTCTTTCACAACAGCGTTCTCTGTGTCTAATCCCTATCACCATTAACATAATTATAGTTTACGTCTTGTTAATTCCCCTTGGTTGTACTTATATTGTGGCATATAGAGTCAATAGATATTTGTATCAGGTCGTACATCGTTTATGATTGAATAGAAAACTCATTATCATAAATACGTCAACGGTGGAAATACTAATCTCCACATGTCTCTTATACTCATAATAATCATTTGCTCACTAGTGACTGGCTTCAAGATGTAACTCTTGGAGTTCTAGCAAGTAGCCGTGACAAATAGAGTTCAATCCGTACCGAGTATGAAAAAGTTATCCACCACGGGCAGTAGATGACGGGTTTCTTAAGATAGTGGATTGGTTTGAGTTACACAAAGCACCGTTGGATGCCGTTTCAGTGATCTAGAGGTTAGGTGTTCAAGTGCAATATTGAAAGTTATGGGTTTGATTTCCACGTGTGGGTTTGTGAATGCTCACTTCTGGTGAGTCCCATTCTAAGACAAAACATCGTTCCAGTGTTTCCACTTTTTTGCTGGTTGTCTAACTAAAATGAGATCGTAATTTCAACGGTAAAAATGTGTTATACTTGAAAATTATAAAATTGCATCCGTCTTGTTAAATTAACTTCCATTCATACACGTAGTTAGAAAAACTACAACTTCTAGTTCTAATCAATCCGTTGTTGATATTCTTGACTTAAAGTTTCAAAGAAATTTCTCGTTAAAAATTACTTTATACAGCTGTCATTCATCACTGATATAATTTCATAACCGAAATATCTATTCTACATAAATACAATTCTTGATTATTTACATTCTAAAATCCCACCTTATTTTGTTTATCTTTTTCCAGAAGAAATAATAGTATTTGTGGATCAACTATAAAAACTGGATTGAACAGTAATAATCATAACAATAATAGTTTGATAACAAGTAATGTAATTGAGAGTAGTAATTCAACGCCAAGTGTTGTACAAGCATTCAAAGCAGACGATATTGTCACTAATCATCCTACCATTACCGCTGATGCATCATACGACAATAGTAAAACTGATTTAATCATAAATCATAAAGAATCTCCATCAAGATCATTAGATTTAGTGAGTTTTCGACGTTTCACATCAACAACTATACCAGATAGTAGTAGTAGTAGTAATAATAATAATGGGAAAATACATACAGGTACTAGTAATGGTACAACTAGTGTTAATTCAAGTGAAAATAATCGTAATTCATTCATCCAGGAATCTGATATTTCGGCAACCATTGGTACTACTGCTACTACTGTTAATGACAATTTGTTATCGATTAATCCCACACAAGATCATCATTCGAATACATCAACTAGTTTTCATAGTAGTATTCATCAAGTTTGGCAAGATCCATTACAAGAATTAGCTAGATTAACTGGAGCTGGTTCAAAACGTAATGCTTTATTACGTTGGTGTCAGTCACGTGTACTAGGCTATCGTGGTGTGGAAGTAACAAATTTCTCTAGCTCATGGAATAATGGTTTAGCATTTTGTGCTTTATTACATACATATGTTCCATCAAAAATTCCATGGAATGATTTAATCACATCTAATGGTTTACCTATTGATAAACGACGTTGTTTTGAAGTAAGTTCTTTTTTTATTGTATCCTATTTCTTTTTAGTTTTATAAATATTGACAATAAACCAATAATTTGATTTATAATTAAGATTTATACAAATATTCGTCAAGATTGAAACGAATCGCTTGACAAAAATTGGGCGCCAAGTATAAAAGTCATTATATGTGAAAATTATATTTGAAATAACCTCAGCGATTGAAATTTAAATATATCATTCCAACGTTTCGTCCAACTAACTTGTCTGGACTTCTTCAGGGAAATCATCAAAGAAAGCTTTCTTTGACGAAGATTACTGTTAATAAATAATAGTGATAAAAATGTAACAGATAACTAGTAAATGAAGTTATTATCAATCTAATTAAATTAGAATTATATAGGTTTTCTGTTTAGATTCTTCTGAATAATAGAAATAATTGTTTAATGATTAAAACAATTGAATTTCAACCAATCAGTTATGAGTTCATATTTCTACTTCATGTATTTCACAGTTTGAACTATCAAGTAATACTATTGACTCTTACATAGTTATTATGACTCAGAGTCTACTAAACAACCTTCTGTCTACTTGATAAAGAAATTACAAATACAATAACACATTTCGACATGTTGTTGTTATAATACTACATTAGCAAGTGACCTTTTTGTAGCTGATTGACAAATAATAATCATATCGTCAGTTAATGAGTTATAATTTTTTAAAAAAAAACGTCAATTTATTTATCTAAACAGTTGACATTCTTCTAATGTCTTAACTAATCGGAGAAACTTTCTCATGTTTTTAAAAACTAAGTTTATAACATCGATTAATCTTTTACAATTTAGTTCAGATAAAATTTAGCTTAGTTGGAATAAATAAAAAAAGGCTGTTTAATGATAAATATACTTTTTGTTATATCCCAGTGAGTAGAAAAATTGTTTTGTGACTTAATGTAAGCCATTTCTTCAGAGTAAATAAATTGAATCCGGGCCTTCACGTCATATGGCTCTTTAAGAGGACGAAAAGCGAATGGCCGGCGCCCTAACCGGGTCGGTGGACACGGTTAGTCCACCTTGGGGAGTTTAAAAACCCTGATTCCAAACCAATAGTGCACATGGGCTCGAGTATCCTGAGGGAACAAATAGCGTATGAACCAATTGTTGGTCACCAGCTACCATGGGACTGCATCTCCTCACCATGCTCCACTGCCTTGTGGGTTAGACATTTAGGTGAAAGGCTCGGGGTGTGGCCTCCTAAGATAACCACCTGCTTCGGTCTGGACACCCGGCCAGTATCACAGCCCACACACAAATCAAGTGGCTTGTGTGGTGCATATACATTCGGTGCCCCTTTGTGCTAATCTTTATATGTTTAAATAAATAAAAAAATTGAGGGCTAACCTCAAACCGTTACCAGTAGAGCTGAACCATATCCAGTATAAAGTAGTTACTCACTAGCCGTATTGTAATATAATTTCATAATATTTCGAATCGATTAAAGTTGAATCTCACCTCAGTCGTCTAGATATTAAGCGCTCACTGCGAGACTTGAAGATCCTGGGTATAAATCCTAGTGAGGTCATGAGTACTCTTAGCTGATACATCTCAGACCATGGCTCAATATCTAACCAAACTAATACATACATGTAATTAATTCGTGTTCATAATAACAATTCTGTTTCCATTATCTTTCGTTAATGTAAACAGTTAAAATATCAATTTATTGTCTGGTTTTTAATAGCAGTCCATTTTTTTGTTTTATATGAAACAAGTTGGTTAGCCAGTTTACTCTAACTAGTTGGGAAATTTCGCCTCTTGTATTTCAGTTTAAATAACATTATCTATAATTTATGTTTAATATGACATGAATCTAAATGTTTTTTTCTTAATATACATTAAATTTACATTTTCATAATTTCCATTTATCAACATTCATTGATTATTATAGATTGCTTTTAAAGTTGCCGAAGATGAAGGTATTCCAACTACACTAAAATTACAAGATATGCTTACAACAGAACGACCTGATTGGAATTCTGTAATGACTTATATCACGTCAGTATATCGACATTATGAAGTAGAAGCCTTGAATCCATCTACAACTACTGACAATATTGATTGATGATGGCAGTAGTGATAGTGTCAATGTAGATTCTCGATAAGAGTCTAATGTTATTACTTAAATTTCTTATCTTATATTTTTTTCGCTCTTTCTTTTCTCCAATTGTTGTGAATATGCAATACAATACATGCATACGTATATCTAGTAAACTTTCAATATGGTAAAACCACGGATACTTTCTTTGCTATCTTTTTTTTTCTAAACAAAAAAATTAAAAATAAATAAACTACGAAAACAGTTTGTAATACGCACAGTTTATGTATATAAATACAAATGACCTTGTCTTCCTTTTATTCGTTTATTTGAAGTGGTTTTCTACATAATCTGGGACAATATACACATTTATATCGCTCAATCTAATCTTCTCCAGTGCATTCTATGCATATATATATATGTAGATAAATATTTTGAAGGAAATAATTCATGTATGCATAGTAATTTATCGTTGTTGGTTTTTTATGTGTTTTTTATCCTACATTTTAATTTGGTTTTAACAATAAATATCTTTTCTTATCCCACAGAACACTTTTTTCTTCATAAAAGTGACATTTTGACTGTTCATATGTTAAAATTAACATGAATAATGCGTATGAAGTTATTTGATGAACATTGAATAGTTTGAGTAATAACTATGGTAATTACCTGTAGTTTCACACATTTTCTGGAACCATCGCGTCATTGAAGTGATTGTGTCAACTGAACTGACGGTTAGTAAAATCTAGAGGAAGAAATTCAATTCATAGCAAGACACTGTGTGGCATGGTCAATGATCTACATCGTTTTTTTTTTCTAGGCAACTGTCATTTTTTGTTATAATTCGCTCAGCGATGCTTACACTTATGTCGGCAATTTCACCTAGTCTTTATTTTCCTTAACACTTTTATTTTTTCCCTGTTTCTATACTTGTTTGCATATTGTTAAATCTTCTTCATACCGACGTGATTTATCTACCGAAATGTAGTTATCCTACTCTATATATTGTGTGTCGTCGACGAAAAACTGAGTACTTTATCATTGCGTTATTATAGTAGGGGTACGGTGTGTCTCATGCCGACTGCTTACAACGAGAAGACATGGTGTATGAATGCCGAGTCATAGCCTGGTAGCTGTATCATCATTCAGGCGATGATAGTTGATTAGCTCTAAGGACTTGAGGAACACCATATTATTCATTGCTTAGTGATTTATCAACATAGATATCTTACTCCTACAGGAGGTTAGTCGCGGCCTGAATAGCTGCAGTGGTAGCTTCTTAGTTTGTTTAACTGGATTACCAGGATGTGAATCCACTAGGGGTTACTGACTTCCTTGAGATTACATGTACGTCTTACTGGCAAGTGGTATATAACACGAAATCCCAAGTCCAGTGTTTCCTGCTGACCACCTTCAAGCACCTCACTGTATGTATGTATCAGATTGTCCAACGTGATATTATCAACTTATAGATTGTTTAGATTTCGTATTGTTGTATATGTTAGGGGAGATGGAAATTAAAAGATGAGTTGCATAAAGTGACTAATTGTCAATGATGCTTATTAACAAACAAACGAACTAGAACATGTTATATAATTGATAAATTGTATAATATAATTGATGAAATTATGGTGAGAAGTCAAATATTAGTGGCTGTTATTTAAGCATAAACGGGATATCACAGTTACGCAATAATAAATGAGAACATAAAGTTCTAAAAGGAAGACAATAACGGATGAGATATTGTTCAGTAAGCCATTCCCAGCTCACTTTAATGTTTAATGATTCAGATAATGAGAGTTGTACAAATTTTTAATAAAAACAGGTCAGGTTTGCATAGATGGGTGTCGATGCTTTCATTCATATAAAAGAAGACGTGCATATAGACCAAGGGTCAAACTTAGTGGAATCTGGACGGGGAAAAGTCATTTGAATGACTTTGTTTACGTTCACTTGATGTCTCCTACCAGCTAGGTCGACAAGTATTGGGCTGTTGATTAATCCAAGCTTCCTGTGACTTAACCATTTAGGACGATCTCGAAAAATTTCTTGACGGGCATGCCTAATTGTGCATCCAATTTAACTAGTTCCACAAGATCAGTTATATTGGTTAGTACATATAAATGATACAAATGCAGATAGTCCACCCTTATTTCCAGTTGTACGGCAGGGCATATAGCTTGTCTGTATTAAATGGTATTTGCAGACCCTTTTTATCCTCTACATTATTACTAGGTGTGCACTGCTGAGAAGTCCCATAGTTGGACAAAACAACCATCACACCATAAATTGATTGATGTGGATGTTTCTTTGTGGCTATTTTAACATGTGTATATCAGTGTGTTTAGTCATGATTAAAATGTGAGTGAAAAGAAATAGTTCTTCTTTCTTTTAACCTGTTTTCTAAATAAAACTATTATACATTTATTAGATCTTATTTTGTATAAGCTGATGAATAATCTACAATGTCGCAATCTTCAATGTCTTGGATTGATTGAGGTTATACGTTAACACTGTTGGATGCTGTCTCAGTAGGTTATAGGTTAGGTGTTCGCATGTACGACCGACAGGCCTGGGTATGAGTCTCTCTTGAAGGATTGTGGATGTGCACTATTACGGAGTCTCATACTAGAACAAAGTGGGCGTCCAGTGTTTCCAGGTGCCTTAATTTAAGTAGGTTCTTGATTTCGATGGAAAATAAATATATCTTACAACTCAGTTCACGAGTCAATCTAAGCTAGACCACCATGTAAAACCCGAGATCACTGGACGGCCGTTACATCCTAGTATTGGACTCTTCGACAGTACTCATCCACGACTCCATACATGGGACTCGAACGCTTAACCTCTAGACCACTGAGCGGATATCTAACGTCCATCGATTCATGATCTTGTGCAACCATTCATCCATTCACCACCGGTTTGTTTCGTTTATATATGGTAGATGATTTTACAAACTGGGAGCTGCACAATAATTTATTTTACTTTATAGCTTTGAAACATTGCCTTTAAAGATCGGAAACATCCTCATGTTACTAGCACTTAATCATAGATACTTTTGACGGATCGCTCACAGATTTTGGAGCAACCAAATCAGAAAATCCTAAAATTAGACGTAGGGTTCTTGGTAAAATTGACCAATCTGTGAAGTGGTTTGGCAATTCTACATGTATTCTCAGCCATCATCTGTGTCGTCATTCAATGCCAGCTCCCATAGGAGCTGGTTAGAAGTAAGCCTATGATGGAAAACTAAAGCATAGAACCAATCCATGAAGCCACTAACCGCTTATTTGAGCAATGAAGAACGGCATCTAGTTTCTGGTTTAAGCTTGTGCAACATTTGTACTGGATGGTTATGAAGTTGCGTTCATTCTCTACCTTTAAGTCTTGAATAAGTTTTCCTTTCTAATTTTTCATTCCATCATCTCATTTGTTCCGCTTTAACTGTACTTCTTGTATTAAATACAGTTCCTCTTGTATTAGATTGAATTCGATATTAGTTACCCCTTGTTTGTTTCTCGTTTTGTTCAGTTCCCTTTTTGTTGTGCAGATGTCCGAGATGGCAACTGATACTGATAAATATATTTGTATAACAATCTACGTTGACGATGACTGACTATTTAGTTGATCATTTATCTACCAGTTCTAAGCAAACTAGATAAACTGAATGCTTCAAGCGAAACATTCGAGAATGTTTCACTGAATATCTGTACTGGTTATAAAAAATGAATACAATAAACCCAAAAACATGTTTACATGATCAGTCAAATCGTTATCAAGTATGATTTTCATGACGAAAAGTACTTTTATAACGTTCCAAACTACTTATTATTGATAATCAGAACATTTCTGTGTTTAATGTTGTTTAGAGTCAAGACGTATATCGTGATGTTCCACTTTATATGTATTGAATTATAGAATTTACAAAGTCTAAATTAAAGCGTTAGATCCCTTTTACATTGACTGGAACAGATATGAACCATTGGACACGGCTACTCAATGATTTGAAGTTGTACTCTCCGTAAAATCGATAATTGATCGTGTTTGGAATCATGCATGCGCGCTATTCAACATCACCAATGTAAGATGAGTTGTTTGTTCCTTACTCCCTATTTTTCATTAGTTCTATACCTTAGGTCACCTAATAGTAAAAATTATCTGATATGACGCGATAAAAAGCAACATTAGATTCTTTTACTGATTGTGAATTTTTCAGCATAACTTCTTTTTCATTCGATGTGATAATTACTCCATGTAGTATTTGTTTTGTTTTTCCAGTGGGATATTTCATTCTGTATAACATATGATATTCTTATATTTATTTGACCTGAACTATACTTAACATGACACACAGCATATGGTTTATTATAACTTTGAGTATTTTTCGTATATGTGATTTCATCCTAATTAGTCATCAAAATGGGTCTACAAATCAACATATAAATGAGTGTATTTTCGACTAGAGTCGTTGTCGTGTTTTGGGGTTAATAAATCTTCACTTGTACCAGTCTTTATGTACCTACTTATGCGTCGTGAAAATTGCAATGGTTCCTCGTTCTCAAGTATGAGTAATGAGAGATTTCGACATAACAATTAACGAGGACCATGCATAACAGTTGGCGACGTAGTTATAACATATATATATATACTACGACCATCATCAGGAAGGTGCAAGTATTTATAAACAGTTGTCTACGCAAAATACTCAACATCCATTGGCCGGATACTATCAGCAACAGCGTTTTATGGGAGAGGGCAAACCAGCTGAAGAGGAAATTAGGAAAAGACGTTGGAAGTGGATCGGACATACATTAAAGAAATCACCAATGTGCATCACGACTCAATCCCTAACTTGGAATCCGGAAGGGAAGCGGAAAAGAGGAAGGCCAAAGAACACACTACGCCGGGAAATAGAAGCAGATATGAAAAGGCTGAATAGTAACTGGAAAGGAAGGCTCAGGACAGATTTGGATGGAGAATGCTGATGAGCGGCCTATGCTCCTCGACGAGGGGTAACAGGTGTACGT